AGGTCAAACCCATTTGAACTGCTGATGGATCAGGTCTGCAGGAGCCTCTGCCTCTCCTCCTCTCCTGATCTCTCTCTTTTCCACTAAGTCTCTCTCTCTCACACACACACACACACACACACACACACTCACCACAAACCTGCCCAGATGTTAGCAGGGCTGCTGCATCACCATCAGTCTGTGGACGTCCACCTATAGATTCAGACAGATGAAAGAAGGGCATCATTGGATGGAGTGCCCTCTACTGGACAGAACTGATTTAACAGAAGTTCAATCACATCAACGTCTCTGACGTGTCATACGTCAGCATTAAACAGATCGACCAATAAGAAAGGCTTCTTTATGAAGGACACGATGCGTTCAGTGAACTTTGTTCTTGCCTGGACATTTGAGATACTAGAAGAGGGGGGACAGTGGGGGGGGGGGGGGGGGGTAATAGATAGAGTTGATACATCAGGACTTTAGTCTATAATCTAAATTCAACAACACGACGTAATCACAGGAAATAAAAACAATAACATTTGTGTTGAATAAAACAAAAAAATAAAACAACATCTCACCTCTTGTTGAGAATCACGTTGAATTCTCTGTGATGATGTCATACCAATGGTTCCCAAAGTGGGGGTCAGGGCCCACAGGTGGTGTGAAGCGAATGCAGGGGGTCATGGGTCCAAACAATGGAAATGGATTTCAATTTAATTGAATTTTTTTCTTTTTTTTCACTGCAGCTTTTTATGTTAATGTTCAGAGAAGATTTTTGAACCAAAGCTTTAAATGTGTCAGTGTGGAGGCCTCCAAAATAGTTTCACCAACAAAGAGGGGGCGCTGAAGAAAACATTTGTGATGCCCTGCACTATGCCTATAGTAACTGCCACATGGAGGTAAAGAGGGGGGGCAAATACTGGTGACGACAATAAAATCTATAGGAAGACGGAGGAACTCTCTCTCTCTCTCTCTCTCTCTCTCTCTCTCTCTCTCTGTCCCTTCCTCCCCCTGGGGAACACATCCAACCCTGTTGCCGAGGCTACAGCGTGATCAAAGCCTGGGTTCTGATTCGTGCAGATAACAAACTCGGGTTCGTCCCGTTGGAATGGCAGCGACCAGGAAGCACCGCAAGGAAACAAAGTTGTTTCCAAACCAGAGCATCTGACACAAGTTACAGATGTAATTGAATCAAGGCCGTCGATGGGTTTCCCTGCGACGCCATCCGACGCCGACTGTGATCTCGGAGGGAAAACAAAGGGATGACATCATAGACCAACCAGCGGGGAGAGAGAAGAAGAAATGCTCTCAATTACACAACAGCTCCTCAGATTAAAGCAGGACTGGGCGGCTGCCACATGGAAGGAGCCACTGTTGATGGATGAAGAAGTGGATGGAGTTTAATGGTCGTCCAACGCAGGTTCATCTGAGACTTCTGTCTCCACTGTTGTGCAACCATCAGACACATGACCCATGCTGTGTGTGCCCCCTGCTGGCTCAGCTGCAGCCAGATCAGGAGAAAAAAAAAGTATTTGAATCACTTCCAAAATTAAACTTTTTAAATGACATTTTATTCCTGTTTAGGTCCAAGAAATACAGAGAATATTTTACTTTATTTACTTTTGTTTTACACTTTGCTTCTGAATATAAACCTACAATTTGAAACAACATCTAAGTTCCGAGGGAAAAGAACAAGGGATCAATGTTTAAGGTAAAGGCAGGATGAAAAGAGATTTGTTTTTTCCGTGAGCTTGAAGGTACATGAAAGATACCTGTGTCTGTGTGTGGCCTTAAAGACTGGAGGACCGTCCATGCTGTCCTGGGATTGGCTCCTGCTTCCACCGCGACGGTGACAAAAATGTGATACAAATCTGAATCTGGTTCTAGATCCAGAAAAAGCAAGTACCGGGGGCTGGGAACAGTACCACAGGTTCTGACCAGCAGCTGAATGGATGTACCAGTATGACTTCTGACCCCAACTGGTCCAACACAGCTCTCTCTCTCTCTCTTCTCTCTCTTCCTTCTTCAACACCGCAGCAGAGAAGCAGCTCCATTTAAACACATTTCTTTGTCCAAGACCAGTGGACTTTACTTCAAGGACAAGTTTGACCCAAGAGCCAATGAGAAAGTCCAGGCACGTTTTTACAGTTTTGGCAGGAAGGAGATGCACAAAGACCTGACGTAAGCCACAGTCAAAGACTGCCAGTGAAACGGGCCAAGATCGGTGAGGTCTGCATCCATCACGCACACGGGCCCTGATGGGACGGGAACCTTCCTCCACTCAAGTGACACTCGTTTATTATGTTTTCACCAGATAAACTTATAACACAAACACAACATTATTCCAATCTGCCTCCACCGCCCGCACGGGTCTCGTAAAGAGCGACGCGGCACGGAGGCAGATGACAGACGTTACAGAGCTGCAGACCACCAGGACGTCTGTGTGGAGCAGGACCTGCTCAGTCTCTGCAGACCACAACAGTCTTCATCCAGTTGGACCTGTCTCAGTCAGTGTTCTAATGATGGGGAGGGGGCAAAGGTCACAGAGTCTTTTAAACCACACAGCTGGGGGGGGGGCTCCTTGACCTTGAGCCGCAGCGTGTTTTCTGAAGTCCCAAATATGAGGTCGTCTGCACCAGGACGGGGTCAGATATATGTGTGGATATAAAAACAGGTTTATTTGATGGCAGGAAACAAAAGTGCTGCGATCACCTCAGGAGTTCTGCTGGTGTTTGGTCCAAAGGTCTGAGCTGCAGCAGAACCTGGCCGTCAGTGGTTCACGTCCAAACGTCCTCGTCCTCGTCCTCTACAACCTTCTACAGACTCCAGGCACAGCGACCCTGATCACATGGCCCAGGAGATGTTGGCCGCGTGCTCCTTGGCCTTCATGCGCAGCACGGCGATGCTGGACGAGCGTCTCTCAAACTCGGGTTTGGTCTCAAAGGCGTGGTGGCCGTTGGCTGTCGGAGCGAGCAGAGAGTCAGCGCTGAAGAAGTTGTTCAGGGAGACGTGGCTGAACTGGTTCTGCTGACTGGGGAAGCCCATGTAACCGTGGTCGGCGGCGCCGGCGCCGGAGCGCGGCGAGTGTGGGTAAGTGGTGACGCAGGGCGGAGAGCCTCTGGGCAGGACGCAGGAGGAGACCACGGAGCCGCCGGGGGGCGGGCTGGGCCACAGGTTGTTGGGGATCTGTTGGGTGAGGAGGAGGATAAGAACTTTGTACCCTAGTTCTATCGGTACCACAGAGACTCACCGTGAGAGGAAAGCCCAGACAGAAAGAATCAAACCCAGAGAATCCTCCTGGAGTCAAAGCAGACAACTTCAAATATATTTGATATTCAGACATTCATCTGAACCAGCCTGGAGCCAGGGGTTTGACACCACTGTTTACATGCTGCTTATTGTGCAGTACACGAGTGGTAAAAAGAAATATATATAAATATATATATAAAACATATAATACTGTATATATATATATATTATATATATGAACCTTAAATCACAGCTGTTCCTGATAGTCTTCATATTCCACGTCATAAATCAACTAAAAACCGTAGTTCTGCCCAAACGACAACAGTTTTTGCCACAGAAAATGAGCAAAGTTGCAATAAATAAATTAATGTTTTTTTTAAATCAATTACATTTGAGCTACTCAGTAATTTAGGTGTTCCTGCAAATGCCTGATATTTTTGGCCAAGTATTTGGTTGTACTTTTTTTTTTCTTTTTTAACACCAATGTTTAGCCTTTTGGAAAAAAAAGTCCTTTATAAATTGTTAATAATGTTAGTAACTAAAGATGATTAAATGTTACACACGTTAGGGGCAGTTGACCTTCAGGTTTTTAAGGATGTGAAAAACCGTGTGACGCGTTGGTGATTAATGATGTAACACAATCTTGAACCACTTTCCCAAAATGCAGTTGTGCAAATTTTAGACAAGGCCTCACTTTTCTGACTTGTTTCATAACAAATGTGCGATTTTTGGATCCAACATTTTACGTTGTTGAATTTGGACAAATGACTTGAAATATTAAGACGCGCGGCCGCACAGACTGCTGGGAAACTTGATGTTTCCATCCAGGATAATAAAGACAGAGCGGCTCTCCGTGTCAGACCGAACCAGACTCGCAGCTCTAATCTCGCGGTGTTTCACCCCGGAGGACGAGCTGACACCGCGCCGTCTCCTCTCACCTCATCTCGTGCCTGACCTTTGTCCAAAGTCAGAGATAAATGTTCAGACAACACGAAACGTGATATTAGGGCCATTCATTCTACGGTGACACCGCACGGAGGCGCTGATGGAGACACTGCGACCACGGAGAGAACTTTCACGAAAAAGTCAAGCGTCGTTCGCGGCGGTGACGCAAACTGGATTTTAAGAGTGGGAGAGAGAGAGACAGAGATAGAGAGAGAGAGAGAGAGAGAGAGAGAGTCGTCGACGTTGAGGTTTTTACCCGCGGATTATTTTAGTTTTTTTAAACTATTGTTATTGTTATTAAATGCGTTTTTAATAAATAACTATAAAGTTTTATCCTGTGTTTCTGTTGATGGTATGATTTATTTATTTTAATTATAAACTGATTATTAATCATAAGTGATTCTACTGACAACTACGATTTGAGATTTTAAGGAATTAAAAATATAAATAATATTAGAGTTAAGACAGAATTCTGACATTAAAAAGTCGGAAATGACCTTTGTTGAAAATCAGAGTCAAAGTCGTGTTTTATTTTCGAAATAAAAATAATGATTTTTCTAACTTCATGGTTATGATTAGAATCCAATCATTAAAGACATTAGAGCTGAAGTTTTTTAAAGAGTTCTAAAATAAATGATTTTTACTGTGAGAGAAATAAATATAAAAAAGAACAGAAATGAATCAACTAAAACTGACGTTGATTAAAAAACAACGATGTCTTTATGATTGTTGAAATATTTAAAATCTAAAGGTTAATGATAGAATTCTGTGGGTGAAAATGTTACATGAAAATCTGATAAGTTCTTAAATGTTTTTAATTTTAAAAATGCTGAATGAAAACTAATAATTCTGAGATTACGATCTCGTTGTTCACATAATAACCATGAGATTAAAGTTTGACCTCAGGGTCTGGAAATGGTTTTAATAAAAAAAACACAAAACAGAATCCCAGAATAACGACCATTATATTCGACTGGTCGAAAGTTGAATTAAAGTTAAGATTATATTTGGGACCAGTTTGAATCATTTCACGTGAAATGTCAGAATTTGCAGCAGTTTTTATGACTTGTTGGTCATTTTTTTAAATGTTTGTTTTTATTGGTTTAAAAACATAAACAGCTTTGGATTATTTTTCTATAAAACTATATTAACTAAACCACAGAACTGTCTCCGTTTTACGTCACTGTGACGTCGGTGAACAGTTTTATTTTCTCTCACTTCATGACAATTTAAAACAAACGCGTCGTGATTATAATTAACACAAAGATGATTTTAGTTTGTTTGTTTGTTTGTTTCTGATTCTTTATTGTTTCTAGTCCGAATGTTCTAGATGCCGGGGCGGGATCGAACACGGACCCTCCTGCCGCCACTGTGCCACTCTGGCCTTGAACCCGTCTTAAATCGTAAGTATTGCGGTAAAACTCGCCTGTGTGTAGCTGTCGCTCCTCGGTAACACCGATAAATCGTACGTGGCTGCGAAGTGACTCTTGGCCTGTTGGATCTGGCCGTACCGCTCCCTCTTCCTCCACTTGGCCCTGCGGTTCTGGAACCAGACCTGAGAGGAAACGGACCCAAACAGAGGAAAATGATTTCAATACAAATATACAGAGTAACAGGTGAGTAAAACAACTGTTCTGGATCTGTAATAATGTCTAAACTAATGAAGACTGAACATGAAGTGAATCTGGTTTAAAGATCATTTAGATTCAATTTAGATTTAGATTCAAACTGGTTCCTGTTAATGTTAAAGTAGAACTGGGATTAAAACACAGTTCTTTATTAATTTATTTACTTGTTTGTTTGTTTGTTTTTTAAACGTGTGATATTTATTCCACTGAGACCACGGTCCAAACCGAACTCTTATTTCATTTTTTTCCCTCCTCCCTCTAAAAAAAAGTGACCCTAACCGGACCCCGGGGTCACCTGAACTCTGGCCTCCGTCAACTCCGTCCTCATGGCCAGCTGCTCCCGCACGTACACGTCCGGGTAGTGCGTCTTCTGGAACACCTTCTCCAGCTCCTCCAGCTGAGCGCTGGTGAACGTGGTCCGGTGTCTGCGCTTCTTGCTGCTGGACACGTTGCTGTCGCACTTGTCCGTCATGTCCTCCACCAGGTCCGCCTTCTCCTGAGCCGCGGTCACCGGGGAGGCGCGCAGTGGACAGCAGCCGTCCATGGAGCGGCCGAGGTCCGAGTGCAGAGGCTCGTCGTCGGCTTTTGGCACCACGTAGGAGGCTGTGACGCACAGGTGACAAAATAATAATAATAATAATAAAAAAAAACAGTTACTAAGAATATGAGGATATAGACCGATCATTTATATAAATATATATTAAATATATATTCACTTGAATTATGAATTAATACCGAGATAAATAAATTAATTTATACCTGTTATAAATACCGAGATAAATAAATTAATTTATACAATTAACTACATAAACATGACTGTAGAAAATATCTAAAAAAAAATAGTAAAAACATCTAAACAAAAAAACTAACAAATTTTGAAATTGTAACTTTTTTTGTTGTTAAAATAAAAGTCAGATCTTTATGGTTTTTGCAGGACATTTCAGTGGCCGAAAAAATACTTATTATAATAATTATAAAAACACAAAACACGAGACGGTTGGAAAATCAAGGCTGGATTAGAGGTTTATTTTAAAACTCTAATCTCTAAATAATCTGTAAATAATCCCCCACTACTTTTTTTTTCTTTTTTTTTACTCACCGTTCTGGTCCCCGCAGGGTGAGGAGCGGTGCTCGGAGCTCTGCAGCCCGAAGGCCTGCCCGCATTTCGGGGCAGACTTGGTGAAGTAGTGCGCAGTGTCCAGACTCTCCATGACCTGGTCCATGTAGTAGTCGCTGGCCTTCATGGCCTGACTCTTCAGGGTAAACTTGTCCTCGATGAACTCCATCATCTTCACCGCTGCAACCATGAAATAAGAGCAGAAAAACACGGAGAAGACGCGGAGCTGAAGGAGATGGTGTGATGCAATAATCCGCCGATGGAGTTGATTTGCTGAGTCGAGAACGTCTTTAAGGAGCACGAAGAGAAGAGGGAGACCTTAAAGAATCTCCTCCTCCTCCTCCTCCTCTGCAGGAGCAGAACCAACTCCTCCCACGGCCAGAACCCAGAAAATGTTGAGGATCCTGGTTCGTCCAACACAAAACCATCCACAATAATCCACAATCTGACAACGAGATTACAGTGTAATCCTAATCTGACACATCAGATTAGAAAATACACAGAAAAACCCACGGTTACTACGTTGAATTTGATTTAATTTACTGATTTATTATGTATTTATTACAGGGGATTTTTTTACTTGTTAATTTGTATAAAAGTCAAAAAATACAATACTTTTACATCTACATAATCTGGGCCAAAGTATTTTTTAATGAACATTTTTTCAACGTATTTTAATCAAATTCAAATCGTGGTAAACAACTCTGTGGAATTGTTGCCAAATTGTTATTTTTTCTAATTAAAATCCACGAACGACATCAAATTATTTCTCGTCTTTCTTTTCACATCAATTGCTTTTTTTCCGTGATATTTTTGTTCGGAATGTTGATTGTTTTTAACCTAGACTTATGTTTATTTAATAAGAAGAAATTTAAATGTTCACTAAGAAATAACATGGAATATAGAACAAACGTCTGGAGCAAAATCATCAATAATTATTTCTATATTTCTATCTTTGTTTATTTACAGTAAGCAGATAAATGATAAGAAATCAAAATCACTAAAGAAATCTTGTGTAAAATGTTTCCACATAATCTTTAAAAACGCGTTTATCTTTAAACCAACATTTTCTCCACAGACTCATTTAATCATCGGTTTAGTCGTTAATTCAAACGTCTATTTCTCCATCAGCAAATAATGGCGAGAAAACATTTAAAAATTTGGAAAAATTTAAAAAGTGTAGAATAAAAGAAGTTCAGTTTCTGTGTCACGTGAAAAAGAAACATGTAGTGTAAAGGAGTAGGTCTATAGGGGGCGCTAAAGGGGGCATTTCTACATCTATCCTCACTGACCACCAGAACCTTCACCTGGACCAGAACCTTCAACTGGACCAGAACCGTCAACTGGACCAGAACCTTCACCTGGACCAGAACCATCAACTGGACCAGAACCTCCACCTGGACCAGAACCTCCAACTGGACCAGAACCTTCAACTGGACCAGAACCGTCAACTGGACCAGAACCTTCACCTGGACCAGAACATACAGTCCATCCCAATGAGCTGGCGTCACAGAAAAGTACTGCCAAGTTCTAGTACTGTAGTTGTAGTAGTACTTGTTGGAGGTACGCGGTGAAGAGACCAGAGCTGGACTCCTGCACCAGGACAGGAAGTTCACCTCTACTGTTTCTCTTTAGTCCTGGAGTTGAGTTACCACTAACCAAAGCCTCACCCCCCCCCCCCCCCTCACCCCCCGCCCCCTCACCTCCACCCTGGTGGTGACCACACCACCTGCCGTGGTTGTGGTTCGCCCCGGGGTCAGTGGGATATGAAGTAGCCGGGGGTGAGGAGGGCGTCTGTGATTGGTTACTGAGGTGACCCCGTGCACACGCTCACGCTGAGAAGAAAATGTGAAAAGTTCACGGCGGTCCCTGAAAACTGCTGCGTGAAGGTGGTTCTGAGAACCTGGTCCGAGCTCCAGAACCGGTTCTAGTTCAGTCCTAATTCTGAGTGAAGTCGACCAATCAGCAGTCACTTCAGCTCTGACGGGACTGAGCTCCGTCCAAGTCCATCAGAGCGAGACAGAAGGCAGCGACATGATGACATCATGAAGCCTGCAGCCACCCTCAGCTTTAATTCAATCTGCTGAAATGGCTTCAAACTTTGGCTATGACTGACACACACACACACACACACACACACTCCGTTTACTCACCCCCTCCCCCTCCCAGAGCGTCCCAAACTCACGGAGGTTATGAAAGTCACGTGAAGCTGCAGAAGTTCTGGTTCATGAAGCAGGAACATCAGAAAAGTTTGTTTTCATTTTGGTCTGGGCCGTCACACTCCACTTCAGGGCCTCGCCACGGTCCAGGGCCACATGTTGAACAGGTCACCTGTCGCTGAGTGTAGATCAAAGAGACGTTCAAGGGAAAACACATGAAAGATGAGACAGAGGTGGAGAGTGAGAGAGATGACGAGCTCAGAGTCTGAAGATGATTTGGGTTCTCAGAAAAACATTGATCTTCTTTTTTTAGAATCACAGGGAGGTTTTCTCCCAGCAGCCTCAGCGGCGACGGTGGACTCCGTGGACAGGGAACCAATCACAGTCACTGCAGTCAAAATGTCTGGAACTGGAGCACCAACCAGGAATCAAACCAGCAACCTTCTTGATGTAAGGCTCTCACCATCCACCGTGGATTGACCAATCACTGAAGACCAGAAGGTGGCGTCTCGTTCAAATGAGATTTTTAACAAAAACCAGAAACTAACAGATTATACAAAATGGAAGTAAAACGTTCTTCCTTTATTTTCTACATTCATCAGATGAATTCATCCTCACGGAGCGGCTGAAAGATGAGAACTGTTTAGTGTTAGTTAGTAACTGTTTTCCTGTGTGAATCTGTGATTTCTTTGATACCGATGTTAGAGTTTTGTACGATGAGCTGCAGTTTGTTATTTCAGCATTATTTAAAAACTTCACTTCTGGTTAAGAAGAAACAATTAATATGAACCTGTTTTACACTGTGGCAGAAAAACTGTCGCCCCCAAGTGGTCTGGAGGTATACTGGGGGTCCAAGGCCGGACAAACAAATAAGAATAATTAGTTTCACTATTTGTCTTTAATTCTGACAGTGATTCATTAAATGTTGCACTGATTTGTTATTTGTAACTTTGTTATTCATTCTGATGATTTTCTTCAACACTGGGTTTTACATAAATGCTACAAATAAAGTTCAGTCGAGATTTGCAGCATTAGCTATTAACCTGTTGAAGGGGGGGTGGAGGGGGGGGGTCCAGTTTGAGTCAGAATTAAATAATGAATGAAATCATTCAGATTAGTCTACATCTGTGTGTCTAAGTTCATCAACAGACTCCAGACTGACAGGGTTGGTGGTGAAAATCCCCCTCAGCTCGCGTTCAGTCAAAACACCCACAGACACGTGAAACATAGAAGCAAAATAAACAGAGTTGCATTTCCTGCCAGGGAGCCACTCTGCAGCTCGGAATATTTGTTTTGACATGAATTGATGGTTCCCAGGCAGCCGAGCCTCGGTCCAAACACACCAGAGGAGACGCTCGTGGTCCAGGGCTGAGAACAAAGACAACAGGCCTCTAATTCTAACGTCAATGTTTGGGTTTGGCCTAAAACAGCAGCCGTTACAGCGCCCCCTGTTGGTCCAACTCAGCTGAACATGTACGTTAAGTTTCTGAAGTAAACGTTTAACTTTCAACGGTTCAGCGTGAGACGTGGTCGGCGTGCGTTTCACATGTGACCTCAGGTGCCTCGGCTGCTGCTTCTTATTTCCTGGTGTCATTTGCATACGGAGCGTGTCATTGGTGAAGCCGTGTGAACCGGCTCCATGTGTTCTGGTGGTTGATACCGGTCCAGTGCAGTCACAGTCATTCGCCGACACTGGAGCCGAGCAGCAGAGGAGCCGCAGGATGTTTGGGCTGTTCCTCCTTTTAATGGCTCTGATTAAACTCCAGCAGAGGAAGGTCAAACGGATCGAGCCCAGACCATGAAATACCATCGAAACAGAAAAGTGCAAAAGTTCTCATCATCAGATGATACTGCACGTTGAAGGCCACAGGTTTCTTCGGCTTCAGATTTTACTTGAAGACGTTTTCCCTCTTCTTGCCACTTCCCCATCCCCCGCTCAGCTGCAGAGGGTTGTCTCTGAAGGAGATCCGCTCCGTTACGTTCGGAGCAAAGTTGACTCGTTTTGGAGATGGAACCTCTTTTTCTGCTGCAGAAAGAACAGAAGGGAAATGCATGAAGACTTTGGTGGCGTCAAATGAAAACATTCCCTCTGTCAACTAACAGAACCTAATGTGAAATTCCAGACCATTTTGTTCTTTTTCAGCCCAGATGACATTAAAGGACAGAGAGAGTCTGGCAGATCAAAGTCAAACAGGAACTCAAAGACCAGGTGAAGTCCAGGAGAAGACTTGAACATGTGACTCCACGGTAGTCGTTCAGTCTGCAGCTCGTCTCCTGATGGGAACGATCGTGGACAAACTAATGAACAAACCTCTAGTCCGTACCACGGCTGCAGCTCCTGGTACCAATGAAACCAAATGAAACAGGGTTCCAGACACTCCAGTAAAACAGATTCATCCCAGAACAGAATCAGGAGAAGATGATCAGTAATGTTGACATCGAGGTCGAAGGGACGGAAGGAAAAAACCTGAAGGGTTTCACAGTGAAATTACACAAAAACTTGTTTTAAAATAGAAGTGCTTCTTTCAACCAGATGAAACTGAAAATGACTGGTTAGTGACTGGTTAGTGACTGGTTAGTGACTGGTTAGTGACTTTACTCTATAACACTGTGACCATCAGTTCTGTGTCATGACTCCCCCCCCCCCAGTATTCCAAACCTGCAGCACATGTTGCTCATTTCCCCGCTCGTTGTGCGGCCATGCTAATAAATGTACGGCGATGAAGAAAACATTAGAATCGACCGCTGTGACCAAACAACTTGTTTTCCTCCTGTTACTGTTGAGCGGCGCTCAGGACTGAGGCAGCGACACGGAGCTGCAGTGGTTCAACGTGTGGTTCACGGTGCGGGACAGGGAACGCAGGTTTAGGACGACGTCCCACCGAGTGTCACGATGTCATCAAAAGTTCTAAAGATGAATAAAGTTCTTTTCCTACAGAAGGACGGTTCTTCTGAGAATATCAAATCAAACTTCATTATAATCCAGATTATTCCAACTCATAACATTATGGTAACAATTAATCGTGTTCATGTTGTTGTCTAAAAATATCTAACAAACCTGAGGTTTAGATCATTATTGTCAGGTCGTCCTGGCCACAGTCAGAGGAGGACAATAATACCTCTGGCCTCACCTCGTGGACATCATTTTGAAACGATCATCGGACTCCAATTGGCCGTGGTCAGCGGGGGGACAGGGACCTCCTTCACTTGTTTAATGTGATCATGTCAGTCAGTGTGTCAGTAACATCTTTGTCAGTCAAACTCCTGACACACAGACCAGTCATTATTCAGTGAAAGCACTCTCCCAGTCTGTTTCCTGTCAGAGACTGTGTCCCCCGCCCGACCCCGTGTCACCCCCCCCACCTCCACTCCCACACCAGCTGACCACTGGGCCTCAGTCTGGACTGAATGAAGACCCGTCCTTATCACAGTGCACGTCTCTATGCATTCAAGTCTGAGCGCATACACTGAACCACATGTCTGTGCATTGACCACGGGCTTCTGTGATTGGTCCTCGTGCTGACCAATACATACTGTGTTAGCAGTGGCTAATCAACTATATAAACAAACCTGGATTAAGGATGACCATTAATGGACACAGGGTTTGGTCCCAGTGTCTTCAAAACAACTGATTTAGCTTAAAGCTAACAAGCTAACTGTACAAGGCTGAGCTGAAACCCTCGGCTGAACTCCTCACCTCGGTCTGAGTAAACTGCACATTACGTTGAACACAGCTACGAGGCTAACTGACTCGTAGCATCAAGCAGCTTTTTGTTTAAATTTATTTCTGGTGAGGAAAATAAAGTGACTTATTGTGATTGATGTTTTATTTCCTGTTGTAAATTGATCTGTTTTTAATTTATATTTCCCAGGTTTATTTTCATTTTAGAAATAATAAATTCACAAATGTAACCAGAAATACTGAGGTGTATTACTGACATCATGACATGGACTCACGTGCACCAGCTGCTGTGGTTCTCCGTAGGCAACTCTTCCCTTTACTGGACTGGACAACCTGACTGTTGCTGACCCACAGCCCAGACTCAGAGTACGACGGGTCAACCTACACACACACACACACACACACACACACACATTAAAGATGGCAGACATGACAGCCCAGCTCTGAGCACAAACGTTAACGTGCTGCAGAAACAAAACTAAATCTTGTTGTTAGTTTTCGTAACTTGAACGGCTGCACTGTAGAAGCAGCGGTGGTAAACCTGTGGTTCGGGGACACTGAGACCCCCCGCCCCCTCCAGCCCCCCACCTTTCCCCCTCTCAAGCCAAGGTGAGGAGACAGACCCCAGGGAAGGGGGGGGGGGGCAGTAAGGTGGGGCAGGACTCTGGCTGGGGAAAGTAAATACTGAATACCTTCACCTAAAACACGTTGTCTCCCCCGACCCCCCCACCAGTGCCGTGACCAAACTAGTGCTGAAAAGATTCTAAATAAAAACACAACGGTGGAGCAGTGGACTCACCACCAGCTGAACTCTGCCGCCCTTCAGGATGTCTGAGCTCATCTTGGGTAAGAAGCAATCGCTGGAGGAAAAGACAAACGTCTGAGTGAATAACACGTGTTAGAGAAATAAACCCACTCTCTATCTTAACACAATGACATTAACAATTTAAACAAAAGAAACACTTTAAAGAAATAAAAATAATAAAAATAAAAAACTATTTTTTTAACTTTTGAATTTTTTAATTCATGAAAAGAGAACTTTTTCTCCTCTAGGCCTCACTTCAAGTCTGAACACCAGTTCTTGTTTCAGATGAGAACTTTTTAATTCATTTTTTTTTAATCAAGTTTGGACCATGTTTAAATTTTTAACTTTTCAACAGGTTAAAAAAATGGAGACACCTGAGTTTTCATACATTATTAAAAATCAGTCACCTTTTATTAAATATATATATTATAAATAATTATTTGTCTAATTATGCAGCAGTAGATTCCTAACCTGAGTTTAAAACCTGACTTTCTTTTAGGAGCAGTGATGCCACAGAACACACATGTTGTGTCTTTAGTTGGACATGATTCTGATTCTCTTCTCACCTCAGTTCCAGGTCGCGGTCACTCTGGCAGAGCAGCCTCTGTTGATCCTGGTCCAGCTTCACTCTCTCCATCTGCTCTGTTTGTTCTGTTTTACTCACTGAAAGTGACACAAAACAAGGAATCAACGTCACAGGGAAACGCCGTCCAGTTTCTTAGGTGGGACCAGAAACATTTTTCCTGTTTCTTTAGTCAAAGCATTAGCCACTGTGGTGGAAGTATGTGATGGCTGTGATGTAGGAAGCAGAATGATACGTGTAAATACGCCGCTGACGTTGTTTATTCAACGTCCAAGCTCGGTAAATAAACGACAGAGAACACCAGACATGTTGAAGCCTCTGTGGTTTGGACAATCGTGCTGAATGTGTTTTAGATCAAAGGTGCTGAAAAAGACCAGAAACTCGGCTTTTACCAATCAATTCCTGAAACTTGTGGTTCTCTGACAAATATTAAATACAAGCAATAATCCGGCACATGGAGCGAGGACGGCGGCTGATTCAGGAGTTACATCGAAAATCCCATAATAAGGCTATAATTCAAAGTAAACATTTACGTTGGGCTGACAGTAACGCGGCGGTAAACTGATAATCAGTTCTGACAGCTCAAACGCTGGAACTAATGATGCCTTCAGTCTGCTCTCACTGAGCAGTAAAACTGAGCAGAAACGTTTACAGTTATTAGAGGTTAATTGAGAAGCAACACTAAAAACGTCAAGTGATGGATGACCCCCCCCACCCCCACCCCCCGGGGGCAACAGAGGCCGGGGCAGCAGCTAATGACATTCCCTGATACTGCAGAAAAAACATTTAGAAAAATATTTAATTAATTTAAATTAAAGATATTGTGTCAGATTGAATTTAAAATCATATTTATAAATACAGTTAGTATTTGAGTAACGATATTTAAGAATAATGTCCTGATATATTTAAGTTTAATGATTAAAGCTAAAAAAAGAAAAGTAAAAAGTAGTCAGAAAAAATATTTAAGAAAAAAGACAAAGAAAATGGAATATTTTATAAATGAAAAATCTAAATAAGCAATAAATAATAATAAAAATTAAAAAAACACTTTTTCCATAAATACCTTAAAGTTGGTAAAACTGTGAAAAAAATCTGAAGAAAAAAGTCAACTTTAGTACTGGGACAAAAGACAAGTATAAGTTAGCAAATTATGCTAACGGATGAAGATAAAGAAAACATTTTGCCATAACAACCATTAGATTAGCTAACATTTAGCTAACATTTAGCTAACATTTATGCTAATTGACGCCACTGTAACAAGTCGTTAAAACGTTGAGGTTTTCAGTCGTCGTCCACCGCTGCTGCAGCGTGAGGAGAATCTCCTCTTTGTTTCCTTCCTCAACTATCAACCAATAACAAATCCTCCCAACTCCTGACTCCCCCACAGTCCCTCACCCGTTCTCCTCCAGGACATGGGGGGTGGTGGGTGGGGGGGTCTGCAGGGGTCACGCCTGTTAGGAAGGGCTCTTAAGCACATTATGGGATCTCATCTCAGTGAAGTGGAGAACGTTTCTGAGCAGAAGGGAAGTGGAGGTTGTAGGGCGGGGGCGGAGCCTCCCCCTCCTCTCCCCCCCTACACAACAGATCAAGGTTACACCATTCATTAGCCCCACAGCTGGACTGAGGAGGGGTATTTCAGGGTTTGTTTTCGACTTTAGGAGCAGTTTTCCATGAGCTGGTGGATTCAAGGACTGGTTCAATCAAGACCTCTAGTCCAAGAGAGACGACAAAGGTAGATCTGCAGAACATAGATCACATCGACGTGGGCTCCGACTAAACCTCAACTGTTCAACAATTAATTATTAATTACTATAACTATACTCCAGCCTGGTCTAAAGGACTAACAACATCACTCATATAAACAATAAACTTAAGTTTGGCTCAAGCCGGGAACACTTGACCTCTTGACCTCTGCTCTTAGTGGTCACTTAATTAGTGGACAATTAGTCCAAAAGGCCTCAGAGTGTAAAGTTCAAGACACGACCAACACGAAACAACAACGTAGCTCAGACTTTTCTTACTCTCCATAATCAAAACTTTCAAAGGCAGCAATAAAAACGACTTTAATTCATTCGTTAAACTTCTAGCAGTTCATTGTTTTCGAGGCAGCCAATCACAGCAGTCCAGAGTAAAAGGACAGTCAACCATTCACGCTCACATTCACACCTGTGGTCAACTTAAAGTTAACAATTAACCTAATCCAGAATGTACAGTAAGACCAGCAGTAACCACTGGGCGTTGAACCAGTGACCTTCTCCTGGTAGGCCGCAGCAGTAACCACAGCCCCACCGTGTGGTCAGTACAGTAGGTGAAGTGTTTCTGATCCGGTCTGACCTTCTGGTTCTGTAGGTGGACTCTGTGTCAGCTCACAGAGGGCGCTGCAGTGACTGAGATAAACACCGGCCAAATTCAACGCACATGAATGGTGGTAAATATAATGACAGCGAGTTATTCTGGATGATGGATGTTAAACAGGACGATCGTGTTTCACTTGGACTTTGTGGAGGATCTGAAGTGTGAAATCGAGTTAAGTGCTCAGGAGGTAGAGGTTCCAGGCTGGAATAAAAATATGTACCGTGTTGTTCCTCTGACATGAGGGCGGAAGTCTGCAGGAGTCTGCTCAATCTGTGTGTGTGTGTGTGTGTGTGTGTGTGTGCCTCGAGGAATGAAACATCTTCAACATCCAAAAATAAAACATTAACATTTGAAAATATATATCATCAATAAAAGGGAAGTTCAGTTCTCCTCTGTTTTTTGCCTTCAAAAGAAATGTCTCGCGGCGCTGCTGCTCTGCTCCGTACTCTCTCTCTCTCTCTCTCCCTCTCTCTCTCTGGTGTATGTAAACTGATACCCATTTCAAGTGGGTTACTCACGTCCAGGACATCCACACAGAGAGCCCGGATAAAATAAACACACCGCGTCGGATATCTTGGAAGGAATCTGTCATGAGTTTGGGGCTAATCACCTCCAGAAGGCGTTTAACTCTGAATCTGAAATGTTAGCCCCTGTCAGGGAGCGCTGGCCGGGCCGGGCCGGGCCGGGCCGGGCCGGCTGGGCCCCAGGCGCTGGCTGGGGGGGCGGAGGAGGGAGTGGTCTGCCCAGGTCAGGACCAGGGATGTCTCAGAGGTCGGGGACCTTCACCAAACCTGGACTTCTCCAGAACCAGGACCGGTTGAAGAGTCGAAGCAGTGACCAGTGTAATTCATCAGTGGTTGAAGATACAGTCTAACTGGATCTAATGAAAACCTGCTTCATTTAGATGGAGATGGATTAGGATCAGTCAGATTAGGATGAAACAGAAACACCCAGGTTCCAACACTTTTTTAACTTCTTCTGACGTTGGAGTTAAACACAGCTGCTGTTTTCATCCACTGAGCCTCAGATCATTATTAGAACTAGGACTGAAACCAGCAGAACCAAAGTCCAGAGTTCTATAATTGTCTTGAAGTGTAATTGGTCAGAGACAGTCAACAGGTTACTTCCCTGATTGTAATGGGTCAGGATTCCTCTGCTTCACTGTGGCTTCATTATGGGTATCAGGTTTGGTACCAAGGTCAACAGGAAGTTCAAGGGCACAGGTCTTCTCAAGCAGACCTGGAAGCAACAGTGCTAACCACTAGCTGGCGACACTGAGAACTGCTGGGGTGAGTCTGTGTCTGAATGAAAATAAGACGACAGAAGAAAAATGAAGCAGAACAAATCGCTTCCCAAAGTTGGAGGTACAATTCGTTCCGTTTCATTTTCAGTTGTAACATGAAGTAAAGTCACTGCCTTCATCCAAAGATAAATTAAGACTTGGACCAGTGAGGACTGGTCAGTCTGCTGCCAACACTGATACTGGCCTGTTCCCTGTACTGCTGGATGACAGTGAGAGGACGCGGGGCTGTGACCCTGGTGGTGGGGGGGGGGCGTTTACTGAGGGGTGATTTTTTTTCTTCCTTCTGACCTGCGTCCACCACCTTCCCCATTAGCTGTGGCTGTGGCTGTGGGCTCTGAGGTAGAAGGACGTGAAGTGTTGCCAAAGGGTTAACAAATGTACAGCGTGCTCCCAGTCCTACCTTTCATATAGCTCCTCCTGCGCGCTGCAGGCCTGTTTCGTGTCTCGGCCGGACCCTGCTGGCACACGGAGGGATCTGAGAGAATAAGGCAGAGAGGGTCACAGAAGGACAAGGCAGGCACAAAACCAGAAGCAGAAAAACAGGGTTCCAACATTCGGAAAGTATTACGCCAGCACTCTGCTTCCACCGAGGCAGACGCCACTCGGAGTTACAGCTGACATAGACCTGTGTCGGCAAAGCAAGATGACAAGAGCGCTGCTGTTGAAATCATGCAACTGCAATTGTGATCAAAGCGCCGCCTCCCTTTACATGACCATGGCATGATAACCATAGCGGGAATGCCATTCCTTTGGAGCCGAGAAGAGGTGAGGTCACCGCTCAGCGCAGCCGCCCTCCACCACTACAATGAGTAAAAAGTCATCATGGGACGAATTGTCGAGAGCTTTTCTTGGCAACTGTTATTTCCTTCTGCAGGCTCAGAAATGAGCACCAATCAGAGGCGACGGGCGCTGGCTTCTGCTGTCTGTTACGGCTCATTAACGTACATGGGCTGGAAAGGTTCAATGCTGCTGAGATGAAGTTGAAGGAACAAAGAGCACGGGACAATTTAATGCAGATTCCCCCTCTTTCAAAACATAGATTTATGGCATTTCAGCAAAAAAACTAAACCTTTTCTTCAATGTATTTATTTAGTTCGTTTTTTGCCGTTCTACTGTAAACTTCAAATTAAATTTTTTTTTCACACCCAGTCAGTGACTTTGCAAAAGTACTCATGAAATTCTGCTTTGAGTTCACGTTTGTAATAATCTGATGTTTCAAACCTTGAAAACACAGTCTTGAAACTTAAGCACTTTCAAGGACTTCAGACCTCAGAGTTTGGAGAGTTGTTACCGTATCCTCTCACCTTGATACGTTTGTCAGGATCAGGATGGAAAAAATATCTACATTTTCCAACTAAAATGTTGTAAAAATGACAAATATAAACAGAGCAGTTCAATCTACGAACATTTACCCCAGTGGTTCTTCTGCTGCTGTTTCCTGGACTTCATCTTCTGTGCTCTCTTCAGCATCAGAAGAGCTGTTTTGTTGTTTTTAAAATTCCTGGAAATTAAAATGACAAAAATGTCTATTATAATTAAGAAAACCTACACAAACACACACAGACAGGAAAAGAAAAAAGTCTTTAAAAAGTTCATTATTAAATTATTATTAAAGGTTATTAAGTCTAGTTTAGAAAATAAATACAAATAAATTACCATTCTTCCAAGATTCTTTCTGATCTTGCAGAGATACCACTGAGCGTAGAAGATGCCGCAGGTTTAGTTCTGAAATGGTATCGTCAACATAAACATCAGAAAGAACGATGCTGAAAACAACTGTCTTCAGGGACGGGCAGCATTCGTGCGACCTGTTGGTGGCGTCCTCCTCAGAGGTGTCCTCCTGTCCTTCATCCAGCCAGGCCTCCACTGGTCTCCTCTCAGATGTGTGGTAAAGTTCATGTTGTTGACGCTGAGAACATGGCAGAAATAAACAGACAAAACAAGTTCAGTTACTTCAGTTACTTTAGTTACTTCAGTTACTTATGTGGGTGTGTATTCTGTATATTGTCTATGTTATATTTTTACCTGCAGACTTTTATACAAATGACTGAACTGCTTTATCTCAGAGATGAACAACAACTAAACATCACATGGTAACATGAAATGTCAATAAAATTTTTTTTAAAAAGTATGAAGCAAAATGATGTAATTTTTCTAAAAAAAAACTGATTTTCTATTTTGAAACTGTTTTGACAGATTTATTGATGATGATTTTGATTAAATTAAAAGTAAAAATAAAATATGAAATAAAATGATTTGATATTTTAGTATCACCACAAACATGTCTCTCTGTATCATATTAAATTGACTGCTCAATCTTAATACAATTTTGAAAATGTTTCCGTACAGTAATGTCAGTTTTTATTCATCAGTTGTTGGTAATACAGTAATAAAACGTTTTCTGAGAAAAAAACGTTTTTATTTGGTGCAAAACACCTTGGTTTTCAACAAAAACCTTTTGTTTTCTTCAGGTTTGTGTCTGCCAAACCAGAATCATGAAAATGTCTTTGAATTCAAACTCATTTTATTCTAAACTAATAGTTTATACTGTAGCTCACAGTCAATCACATGACTGTCCTTTTCTTCTTCTCTGGTGGTTTTTTTTGTTTGTTAAATCTATCCTGTCTTCCTTTGATGTGCACCTCACTGTCAACACAGTGAAATCAGCCGTGACAGCAGCTGCACCACATCAGCCGACCCATCCCGGCGACCATGATGTACAGCACTGAGCGTGCTCCAAAGAAAAGATCCAGGAAGAGGTTAAAAAAAGGAGGGAAAAAAAAACAGAATCAGAGAGTGAAAAATGACATCTGCTGCTGCTGAGCAACATCCAGCCCCCCAGGAAATGATCTTGGTTTTCAAGTGAGTAAATCTGAAGATCGATTAGGGAGAGTGAGACAAACTCTGAAGGGGGCAATAACCACAGTAGAGAAAGGCAGGGTAACAAAGAGAACAGAAAAAAGAAAAAAGAACTCCAGTGACATCATACGGGGGTTAGGGTTAGAGTCAAAGATGGATGAAGAACAGTCTGATTACCCTCACAGAGATCGGCTCCTCTGACAGGTGGAGATGACCTGATGCTGCGGCTTCAAAAGGTGACACCGTCCACGTGTCTTCAGCTGCCTTTAATGACAAAACATAACGTATAAAGTCCAACATACACAAGTACAGTGACACCTGACCCCGCACATACAAATGGATGAATCTTTTGACCCTGTGATTGTGGGTTCAAATCCTGACCCAGATGGCACGTTTTGCCAGCACAAAAAAAAAAAAAATTAAGTAAACACAGCCCACTGCTCCCATGGGTGTTTTTCACTGAAACCTATATTTGGAGAAAAAAAATTTTCTTGCAAGGTAAACAAATAATACATATTGAAATATGTCAAAAATAAAAACATTTAGTTAAAAATAAAAACACTTTCCTAAAGGTCAAGTCTTTGCCTCCCACCACGGTTCACCCTGGTGACACCTACAGTACACATCTGTACGTGCAGTGGTTCATCCACACAGTACTACAGAGTACTAATATTACAGTACTAGTGCATCTTTGTGAGGGTCTGTGACGGGGGCCACGAGGAGTAAGAAATCACCGGAGCATGAAAGCGGGTAACACATGAACTGGTGTGCATACCTCATCAAAGACAAATTCGTCCACGTCAACCTCCTCAAAGGGTTCTTCCTCGGCGCCGTCGGCCCATGTGACAGCAGCCAGAGCAGATGCAAGCCTCCTCCTCAGAGTGAAGCCCCTCCAGAACGCCTGAAGGTACCGGAAAGACACAGAGAAAGAAAGGAACTCCAGGAACCTTCACACTATGAATCATGGAGCAAAAGTCAATGTTGTGTGTTATCCCATTAGGGAGATAAAACACGTTAGAGCCTCTTTTAATTGCAGAGCGTTCTGCCGTGTGAACTCTTCGTGACTCCCAGCCACTTGGAGTCAAACGCAGCTCCACTGTGCCTTTAAATCCTCCAATTCCCACTGGACCGGGAGAAGGGGGAGTATCCAAGAAGTCTTACTACCACACTTCTTTGGAATCTGATTAATCACTCTGTACGAACCCCGACACACGTTCACACCGCAGCACCAACAACCCTTCCCTCCACCTCTGGGAGCCCTAAAGGACTCATCTAACACTTTGGTGTGGAGGCGTGGAGGCGGGGGTGTGTGTGGAGGGTGGAGTGCCATGTTTTTTAGGACAGCGGGGCAATAAGAGAATGAGCCTCAGCGGCACGGACGAGGCCTCAAGATTGATGTTTGGAGACATTTACAGAAACCTACAGTGAAAAGATGACTTTGACCTCACGCATGTCACTGCAGTAAAAACATAGACAAAGTAGGTGAAGTCTATCAGCACAAACCTGGGACTGAATGAGTTCATAATGTCAGAGAAACATCATCATCATCATCATCATCACTGGACATGTTTACTGGTTCAGTCTGCAGTTTAGTTCATGTTCATTTTTATTTAAGAAAATCATTCATTCATTTATCATCTAACATTTAATACCATTCACACAGATCAGGTCATTTCAGATTAACTGCTAACCACCCTGTCACTATTTGAGATAAATTAGCATTTTTCTACATTAAACTTGATCTGAAACTGACAATGAACGTCAGATTGTCACCAAAACTGAGATGTCAACCAGGTTTTTCCTAAAATCCTGTATCCACTCTTCTGGAAATTCAGGAATTTTAACTGTTGTGAAGTGTGGTTGTGTTCTTTGTGGTCTACACTGACGTTACTGTTAGTAACGTGGGGCCAAATCAGAGGGTTTTTATTGTCTCAACAGTTGTGTCAATACACACAACACTCACAGTCATCACATTTGTTTAAAAAAAAGATTTTTTTTTACCTGTATAACAGTGGCTGCCAAACGTGGTCTATCAGCATCAGAGCAGCCTGTGATTGGCTCTTTGTCTTCTCCCTCTCCTCCAGTCTCAGTGGTGGACGGGCTGATGATATTCCCACCGTTCCATCTGTGTGTGATGCTGCTGCACAATCAACACAAACACACACACAAACACACACGTCTGTGTGCGATGCTGCTGCAGAATCAACACAAACACACACACACACACACTCAGGTCATACATGTCCTGTCATTTGACAACATGAGTGTGTTTCAGAGCAGACATCTGGACAGCAGGAGAAGTTTAGACCTGTCCAGAGTCGGCCCTGGTATCAAAGACGTATGGTCCTCTCAGAGAGAGTGTGGCCGCAGTGACAGAGCTGCGTGTTAACATGAACAGAATGTTCAACGTCTCCTGCAGTGAATCACACAGGAGGCTCCAATGATGACAAATGCTCTGCAGCAGAAGGCAATAAAACGCTGAGCTGCTATAAAAACTCTGTCTGTGTGTGTGTGTGTGTTCAGTGAAATAATCCCTGATCCAGAGGTGGATCAGCTCTGCCTGTTGTTGGACAGACACAGTTCAAACTGTCAACTCATTTTCTTTCACTACAACAAGTCTAGAAACACTGTAGAAACTCGTCCTAAACCTTGAGAAAAGCTGCGTTTGTGACTGAGACGTTACCACAACTACAACGCTCCTGCAACTGAGGCCAGTTTGCAAATTGAAGTAAATAAATAAAATATTAAAAATGTAGTTATAGTTATAGTGAAAATATATCTAGAAATTGATAGAAACATGTGATGAAAATATTACAAAATAAGGAAACAAATACAGAAATAATGTAAACTGAGTGAATTATATTAAATCGTCTGATTTTATTTAGTCATGACTTTCAATGTATGAATCATTTTATTTACTCAACTTGATTGACTTTTTTCCCTCTGTTTCAGACGTAAAGATTATTATCCCACCAAGAGGAAGGACAACCATCCATCAAACACTAAAGTAACACTAGATATAAGAGCACATACTGACGTGGGATTTGAACCAGCAAACATCCGCCCTATTTCTTTGTCCACTGAGCCACAGTTTGGGTTCAAACCCCTATTTCTAAGTTTGTGGTCTGAATACTTTCAGCTTTAGTTCCACGGTTGAGACAAAAAGAGCAGAAAGTGTTTTCTGTTTGTCTCACCTCTGTACAGGACACAGGATGTTCTGCAGACACAGTTACAGAGCTCCACCCTAGGTGTGTGACACGTGGCTGCATTACCTAATGGAGACCTGGTCTGGATCATCAGACACAGGGGGCAGTTTCCGATGGGTCGAGTGACGACCTGTCGCTCCCGGTGATTTCTCCTCGACGCTCCAGTAGCCGCTCTTCGTCTTGTTCTGACTTTGAGTGACAGCTGCTTCTGCTGCAGCAGACGCCCCCTGTGACGGAACTGCAGGTGTCTCAGCGTCAGAACTGTCCTCGTCCAGAGTTTCCTCCAGCAGTGCTGCGTCCACAGACGTCACGGTGTTTCCATGTTCATGAGCCAATCTCTGCTCCACCGCCAGCTTCAGACGTTCAGTGTAGTGACGACAGGAGGTCTTCACAGCATCCAGACAGGATGAGGCCTTACTGTGAACACACACACACACACACACACACACACAACATTCTATCAGGCATTTCAGCAAAATAAAAATTGAAGTGTATAACAATTAGACATGAGACATTTTCCAACTAAACAAAAAGGGTCCTTGAGGTTCTACGTCTTTTTTCAAGTGCTGACAATGAACAAACCCCTGTGTGTTTGTACGTGTGTGTGTGTGTGTGTGTTCTATCACCATATAATGACCCTTTCATTAAGGGATAAAGTGAAGACAAAGCCACATCAATGGAAACTCAGTGAATCTATTAGCAATGCCTGGCTCCTGTGCCCCCCCCCCCCCCCCCACCCCTGAGGGTGTTCAGACACCAGTGTCCAGTCTGAGGTAGCCCCGGCTTCACTGGGACTACAAAGCTCGGCCTCTCTACTCTCAGTGGGATGAGGAGTCAGGAGCTCCACGACAACCATGACCACACTGACCTCTGACCCCGTCTACCTGCCGGTTCAACCCAGGGTCGGCATGTTTTGTTGAAGGAAAGTTGGGGAAAATGTGATAATTTAGGAGAAAAAAAAAATCCCCAACCAGAAGTATTAGGTTGAAACATGAACAACAGAATTATGTTTGTAAAGTCCAGCTCTTGTCAGTGACCTGGCGTGTGGCGCTCTCCTCACCTCCCCGAAAACCTCCATCTGACACCAGGTCAGGGCAGGGGTTAAATGGCCGTGGTGGTCAGTGAAAAGCCCCCAGAATGGTCCATTGTCCACAGGGCAGGGGGCTAGAGGGCACACAGTGAGGGGTGAAGCCCAGGGAGTGCTGTGCTAACCCCCTGAAGCCCTAGGAGGCCTGGATATGACCCGGGTGGGTAGACGCCGCCACGTTTCATCTTTTGTTTTGTGTAATTTGGAAGGGTCATGAAGATAAGCAGAAAGTTGACCAGTGTCTAAAGTGTTGGTGGTCTGACATCCAGAGGACCATCGACACGGGCGCCCCCGCCCAGTGACATCCAAGGACGTTCTCTACAGACTCACTAGGGCCTCCTGGTCAGACATAACAAGACGAGGGCTGACATTCCTGACTCTGTGTCTCCACGTTTGACACCTTGTCTGTAAAACGTGTGTTAGATTATCTATTAGGAATAGAAATGTTTGGTTTTTAAATATATCAAAAGCAGTTGACATTTTATTGTTCCTTCAGCCAAACATAACTGAAAGTCAGCTACGGGTTAGCAAGAGGTTAGCCTAAGGTAGATTCATTTGATCTAGAAAAAGAGATATATACCAAATACCCAGCTATAGTAACTCTGTGCTGCCCCTGGTGGTCCTGGTGTAACCTACAGGTATGTTGTATAATTTTCCAAGGATAAACAAGATCCATTTAATCATCGGCCTGGTAATTCACTTAAATCCAAGAGCCATTTAATCATCGGCCTGGTAATTCACGGGAACATGACGTCCTCTGATAGTGTTGAGACAACTGACAGCTGGTCAGTACTGTCCCATCAGCCTCCCTTCAGCTCAACACACTAATTCACTCTCTCCGTCTCTTACCTGACCTCCGTGCTGTGCTGCTGCTGTAAATCACCGGTCTGTTTCAGATGAGCCTGGCAAAACGTTGTGAAGCTGCCTGGGGCCAGGCTGACCTGTTGAACAGCAGGGGCCGACAGAGGGGAGTCTGTCTCCTCTCCGTCGATGCTCCTCAGGCCTGTCACAGTCTTCTGGAGCGCAGATCTGACAGAGAAGAGAGCAAACAAGATTAAATGTGATCCTACGGCAGAGTCTTAATACCTCCATTGTTCTAGATTAAAAGAAAAAAAAGAATCTCTATTAAACCTAACATCTGATAAAATAAGGGTTAAACTTACCAAGAGAATGTCTTAAAATGCTGGCTAATAAAAGAGGCACAATCATCGTGACCATTTTTAGGATCTAATCCTGGACTCAGAAAGACAGGGTCTGCACCACTGACTGACTTCAGCACTGACTCAAATGTTTCCTCACTCCATCTCTGAGGAAACCCTTTAATGAAACCCCATCACAACGGCTGGTGTTCGAGTTCCCAGTCGTTCAGTCGTGACCGTAGGAGAGAGTAGGAACACAGACTTACCTTTGGTGAAGTTTTTTATTCACTACGACACCGTATCTCAAAGGTCATCTTTGGTTTGAGTCTTACAAGTTCAGAAAATAG